AGCCCCGGCTGCTCACCGCCCGCCCCGCTCTCTCTTCCAGGTTCACAGTGGTGCTTAGACGGACTCGCGATGAGGAAGCACCGGCACCTGCCCCTCGCGGCCGTCTTCGGCCTCCTGCTCTCGGGCTTTGCCGTCACTCGCGCCCAGCAACAAGCAGGTAAGATGCAGAGCTGTCTCCCGAGGCTGCCGGGAGAGGAACAGGTTCCCTGAGCTCAGGCCCGGGCGCCGAGCGGGCCGTGGAGCTTAGAGACGCCCGGGGGGCCAGCGAAGTGAGCACCGGGGAGCGTGTGTGTAGATTAGACCCATCGGACCCCGCCCAGGGGGCGCTGGCTTTCACCAGCGCTCGGGGCTGACGCCTTGGCGTTGGTTCGCAAGTGGTTGGTTTCCACACTCAGTGTGAGCTGTTGAGAGTCAACATTGTTTTCCTTGGAAACAAACCCAAAGGGTAGCACCTCTCTCTACAGAGCTGGGCCCAGAAACACCTGTCGTCTGGAATCATCAAATCCTTTAAAAATCAGTTTCCTCAAACTGTTTTAAAAACTCGATCCGAATGAACCCGATTGAGAATTTCTTGCAGAGTTTGAGAAAACCGAGAACTGCTTCATGCACGGTGAGCTCGGAGAATGGCAGGGTCTCCCCTCCTCTGCCGAGAGCGCCGAGCCTCTGACGGGATCCTCTCACCAGGCCCGCTAGGGGTTTGGTGGCCATTGGTAGGGCATCGGGTCAGCCCGAGGTAAGTAGAGGCCAGGGCCCTGCTGTGGTCAGCCAGCCCAGCCTCCGCTGCAGAGGGGCCGTCCCCCCTCCTCAGCCTCCTGCTCCCCTCCCGAGGGCCCGCTGGACTCATCTTTAAGAGAGAGACATTATCCCCAACACCCACGGAGGCTTTTCTGGCCCTAAAAAAAAAAATGTAGTAAGTTGTTAAGGCCCCTTTCTTCTAAAAAGTCTGAGAAACATGAGACTTCACCTTTGTCTACAGTAACACAAGTCACCGTCACTTAGGGGAGACTTATTTATTATATGCATTTTTCTCGAAATGACCCAACGCTCTGGAGGCTGGTTAATGTAGGACGGCGGCAGTTTTCACTGTTCCTTCCCATCAAGGCCCCGTTTCAGATCCCAAAACTGAAGGGTGAATTTATAGAGCGATGGTTGCTCCTCTGAGTCAGGCGATCCTTCCTGTCTGGTCAGGTGGGTTTATGGCTCAAAGTGCCACAGAAATCGTGCCTGAGTTAAAAGACACCCCAGGGGCTGTTTCCCCCCATCCTGGAGCCTGCCCTGTAGCAGTTTGGACCCAGGGCCAATGACTGGGCACCACGGCCTTTGAGCCCGCGGTCCAGGCCCCCGCCCCTCAGGTAAGTGCGCCCGCCCGCCTGCGAGGCCGGCCAGCTGTGGGCGTTTAGCGAGCGCTTAGGACAGACGGAGCTAGTTTAGGAAGCAACCGCTTGAGCAGGAGAGACGCCTAAACCCCTGTCTTTTTTTAAAGATGTCAAAAACGGTGCCGCGGCCGATATAATCTTTCTAGTGGATTCCTCTTGGCGCTTTGGGAAGGAGCGTTTCCAACTCGTGCGAGAGTTTCTCTATGATGTTGTAAAGTCTTTAGCTGTGGGCGAGAATGAATTCCGTTTTGCCCTGGCCAAGTTCGACGGCAGCCCGCAAACCGAGTTCCTGTTGAATACGTACCGTTCCAAACAAGAGGTCCTGTCCCATATTTCCAACCTGTCCTATTCCGGGGGAAGCAACCAGACCGCAGCGGGATTAGAGTACATAACGCAGGACCACCTCGCTGAGGCGGCCGGGAGCCGGGCCGCGGCCGGAGTCCCCCAGGTGATCATAGCGTTAACCGCTGGACACGCGGACCGCCGCCTCGCTCTGCCCCCGGCGGGGCTTAAGTCTGCTGACCTTAACGTGTTTGCAATTGGACTTGAGGATGCTGACGAAGGCACCTTAAAAGAAATAGCAAGCGAGCCGTTCGATATGCATGTTTTCAACCTAGAGAATTTCACCTCCCTCCATGACATGGTAGGAAGCTTAGTGTCCTGTGTGCGTTCGTCCGTGGCCCTGGCAGGGGCCGGAGGCACAGACACCCTTAAAGACATCACAGGTAACGGCAACGCCGCCCAGCTGCTGCCCGCCTGGCTGATTTTTTTTGTTTTTTTTTTTTGAGATAAGCTTGGCTCCTGCTGGCATTAAAGCTACTCTGTGGCTAAACCTCGGTGGGTGGATCAAGGAGGAGATGACCATTCTCAGGTTTAAAAACAAAGGTTTCAATATCCTTCCGAGACAGAGCACCCACCCCACCCGAGAGGACTTTTTGTTGTTATTGCTAATTCTTACCCGAGGATATTTTCTCGCTGATTTTTGAGAGAGAGTGGGAGGGAGGGAGGGGAAGAGAGGGAGAGAGAGAGAAACATCGATGCGAGGGAGACACATGGGTTGGTTGCCTCCTGTACACGCCTTGGGGATTGAACCCGCAACCCAGGTACATGCCCTTGACCGGGAATCGAACCCACGACCCCCTCGGTGCACAGGCCGACGCTCTGACCGCTGAGCGGCACTGGCCAGGGCCCGAGAGGACATTTTTTGAAACAATTAAATTTTAACTCAAAACCCACACCCCACAGAAGGTCCTTCTATGGTCCTTAGAAAAGAAGGCCTGGGCGCGGCCACGTGTGATGGGAACAGAGGGGCCGTCTCCTTCGGGGACGCTCTGCGTGGCAAAGGGCAGGGATGGAGGGCGGGCGTCTGCTTCGGGTCCAGTGGGCTACCAAGAGAGCTCCTCTCTGTTGCTCGATGGAACTTATTCCAGAGAACTGATGGAGCTAGAATCGTAAGAAAGCTTAGCTATGATCCGGTCCAAGTCTGTCTGGAGGAAATTGAGTCCTGGCAGGTAAGTGACATGCAGCTAGGGAGGGTCAGGCCTCTGGGTCGGGTCTCCGCGCAGGCCCATGCTACAGAACCACAGCTGTGCCGCAGAGGCTCTCCTGGCTCCAATGCCCGTCAGTGCCGCTCCAGGAGCGCTGATGGTGAAGACAGGACACGGACAGGGTCTTGCGTGGTGACGTGTGCGGAGCGAACTGGCTGGCGGGCTATTTAACCAAACCCGTGAGCTCTCCCTCCAGCCCTGAGTGCCTGGAAGAACCACAGGGAGGAACTGGACAAGTAAGATGTCAAATGCACTGTTCGCAGCAATTTGGCCAATGCCCACGGCCTGGCTTCCTCCCCAGTGACGGGCAGGGTGGAGGGAACTAGTCCACGAAGGCAACTGACACGGGAAACACGGGCAGAGGCTGCAGGGGGCATCGAGGGCCTCGGGGGGCAGACGAGCTCCAGGAGGACAGACGCTCGTCCTCCGAGGTGGAGGGAAGGAAGGAGAAAGGAAGCAGGGGGACCAGGTGTCAGCAGGAAGGAGCCAGCTGTCCCGGGCAGGCGGAGCTCGCTCACGAGAAGGGCTATAGAGCCAACCAACCCCGAGGTGTTTCACAAGGTTGTTCATAGATTGGTTCCCCCAAAGGCCCCCCACGATGGTTCCCTTTCCGCTTTGGTGGGGTGACAGGGCTAATGCCCTACCCGCGGGTCCACGCCTAACAGAGAGGAGCGAGTGACAGGCTGGATTATTCATATTTAGCACTAACCAGCGTCCCCTCCTTTGAATGACACCTCTAGTTAGTGCCGATCCTGCCAGATTCCAGGGAAAGAACGGGGGGCCCTCGGAGGACCCCAATCCAAACGCTCCAGGTTACAAGGAAATGCCAAGAGGGTGTTTCTACTGACCCATTTCCTACAACAGCCTCAGGCCAGCGATTCACTGAGCATCGCATTTCTGCACATGGGGGTAACTAATTCACGTCAGAAGCAGAGAAGGGGACCTGTAGCGAGATGGGACATCTTTTCTTTACTGACGTTTTGGCCAAATCGGGAAGAAGGGCGGCCGAGTCCGCCTTGTTGTTTAATTGTTCTGTACTGAACAGGTCATTAGGATACAGGTGCCGAGGGAGCCTATCAGCACAGGGTGTTCCCACGCTCACGACAAAACCTTTGTTTTTATGCCGAGAAAGCATCTCTGTCTTCTAGTGTCCAAGCCGCTAGAGCACCAGGGGGGCCTGTTAATCCATCTCTGTCATCATCTCTAATTAACTTCACTCTGCAACTCCTCCAGGGTCGTGTCCCACTGCATGTTCCACAGAAAAAAATGAGATGATAATAATAATAATAATAATTCTCTAATAATAATATCGTCCGGGGAAAGGTGCTCAGATAGGAACCATTACAGAGACGTCTCATGAGTTAGGGCAGCTTCTCCCCGTTACCTGTCCTCCAGATAACTCTGCCCCATGAATACGTAAACGTGTCAAGTGTTCATGATCGCCACTGTTCTAAATGAACTCCCCTTGAGCAATCCCTGAAAGCTGTGTTTTTAAAAATCCCCTTTATAAGAGGATGTGAGACACAAACGCTTTACCCTAAAGCGCAACAAGCTAAAGGTAAACTATATTCAGTGAGGATTCCAGCTTTCTCTTCTCTGCAAAATATAGAGATTTCAAGAACTCAGGAAACCCATCGACCATTTCGTATTTGCATAGGAAATGCAAATGTGATTTTTAAATTTACCTTAAAAAAAAAAGGGGGGGGGAAGCGCCCTGTGAGCTAAGGAAGGCATTGAGCCCACCGCCGTGTGCTCGGGAAGCAGTGTTTCCAGCAGTGTGGAAGGAGCCCATGGTTTTTCCACGGACATTACAAAACTTTTCCATAGAAAAATGCCACGGAGGGTGTGAGCCGTGAGCCGCAGAGACAGCAAAGCAGGGTCCCGGCTTTCCCTGTAGGTAGCTCTGATTCCCCTTCGAGTTCCCACGGGTCACTGGGGCCCTTGCCAGACGCAAGAACCCGTCGGTGGCTCTCGTGTCTTCCCGAGGCCTCGGCTCTCCTGGGTAACACAGCATGCCCGCGTGCGTCCCACCGTGTGTGTGTAAGACAACAAGGTTGTTTGTTCAGTGATGACAAATTATCCAACATTTTTCTATGACCTGCAGCTGTTCAGCCTTTGAGAATAGAAATGGCAAAGGGCTTTCCCCCAGGGGTTCATCGATCTTATTTATACTATTGTAAATGGCAATAAAAATAAGTAAGGAATTAGTAAAGAGTGTGTCCTCTTGCGATATTTTCTAGTATTGACCGTGGGATCTTCATTTTTTTAGATGTCTCACTGTGCCACGTATGTGGCCAACCTGCCTGGTCCCTCGAGTCCTTGGCTTCGGCCTGAGAAAGGCTGAGGGATTCCTGGCGGTGGGCAGGCCCTCGCGCCGCGGGATGTGAGCTACGCGGTCACACTGCGGCCCCGCCCTCCCACATCCTTCAGGAATCCCAAGTTTTGGCTAAAGAGTGTGGAATGCTTTGGCATTCTTAGCAAAGGCCCCGTCTTATTTAATTCTTTTATGTCGCAGTTACTAAAAATGCAAGATCTTAACTACTCTGGTGAAAATTTGCTCATTAGACCTTATATTTCCAAGTTAATCGTATAAGATCTTGTAAGATATTTCCAAGTTAACGTCTTTCCCTATGCCAGGAATTCATCTGCAAAGGTGTTGTCAGGGGTTGTGTGTATTTGAGGGAAAAAAAGAGAGAAATTCTGATTCGAGCAATCCCTGGCTTAGCTGACGCAACAAGAGAGCTTGGGAGAGAACGTAACTCCGCTGCAGCAAAACTTTTCAGTTTCACACGACAAGATGTGTGTCCTGTTTCTGCAGTGAGAGTAAAAGCAATTCTGTTGGCGCAAAGAAAAATAATTTTAAATATAAAATATTCACTGTCATTAAAAAGATTAGAATGAATGGTCTTATATATATTATAATTATACCCAAAACATAGTTTCCTAAAATCTCAGAATATAAATATCATATATGTTCACCCTGAAATCTCTTCCTGTTCTACCATGTGCTTGAGTCATTAAACAAACACTTTTTGGGATAATTTTGCTTTTCCTATAGTTTAGCTCAGTCTGATTTCCATGTTCCAGCTGAACCTTTGAAATATCCTACTCAGGTCTGTAGATTTATCGGTTGCTCAGTGCTTCTATGAAATCCCCATTTTTACAACCCAGAGCCCATTCTGACGAAGGGTTTATCGGGCACGCAGGGTCCCACTGGGCGAGCGGTTCAGGGCGTCATAGAAACAAGGTTGGATAATTGTGTCATGACTGGTTCCATATCACTCTGCCTAACGGTGTTCTGCATCCCACGACTGGTGACAGAGGCAACAGCCAAGCCCACGGGCGCCGCCTCCCCCAGCCCCGCACGGGCGTTTCGCGCAACTCGTCAAACCCCAATTCCACCCGCGTGTTTTTAAAACTAAAATTTGCGGTGAAAGCTTGGGGTCTTCCTTTCAAATAAACCAAGTTGCATGTGTGCAGCCACCTTGGCTTTTAAAGGAAAAAAAAAGAAAGAAAAAAGGAATCAAGGAATCAAGTGCTTAAGGTGCTGGGGAGATGAGCCGCCAGGCCCCGAATCGGACATTCTGTTTGTAGCTGTGGATTTGGACAACGAAAATTCTTATAATGACTTGAGGACAATAAAAGAAATGTCCCAAGATGAGGGCTCATCTCCGGGCCTTGTCCATGCCGTCCTTCATCTCCTGTGGGGGATGGTCGCGCACAATTGCACCAAACCGCACCGCCCCCCAAATTTGGTAGAACTTTCTAGAACACGTGCCCTGCATTCTCGCTTGCAGAAAAGCAAATACGACCCTACGCAGACGGCACACGTGAAAATGTGCTGCGAGGGCCCCCGGGTTACCCGTCGCTGCTGAGAGGTTGCCTCTAACCCGTCCGGAATGCAGAACGGAAAGAGAACCCCACGTTCCCTAATCACCAATGTGTTTTCATTTGTCTGTATTTCGTGTTTCTTGTCGGTCTCCAAAGAAACATGTGAGAACGCTGAACACCGCATGTGGTCACTTGTCCTAACGCTTTCACGTTTTTTGCATTTCTCTCTTTTCAAGCACAAGACTCTGCTGACATAATTTTCCTTATTGACGGATCAGACAGCACGGGACGTGTCCATTTCTCAGTCATTCGCGACTTCCTTGTCCATCTCCTTGAGAGGCTGTCAGTCGGAGCTGAGCAGATCCGAGTGGGGGTGGTCCAGTATAGCGAGGAGCCCAGGACAATGTTCTCCTTGGACACCTACCCCACCAAGGCGCAGGTCCTGGATGCCGTCAAGGCCCTGGGGTTCCTGGGCGGGGAGCTGGCCAACGTCGGCTACGCCCTCGATTTCGTGGTAGAGAATCATTTCACCCAGGCGGGGGGCAGCCGCGCGGACCAAGGGGTTCCCCAAGTGCTGGTCCTCATAAGTGCCGGGCCCTCTAGTGACGAGATCCACGACGGGGTGGTGGCGCTGAAGCAGGCTAGCGTGTTCTCCTTTGCCCTCGGAGCCCAGGCCGCCCCCCGGGCGGAGCTTCAGCACATAGCCACCAATGAGAACCTGGTGTTCACGGCCCCGGAATTCAGTAGCTTTGGGGACCTCCAGGACCAGTTACTGTCCTACATTGTGGGCGTGGCCCAAAGGCTCATTGTCTTACAGCCGCCAACCATTGTCACACAAGGTACGTACGCTCTTCTCGCCATCCGGGGGGGAGGGG